CCCCATCGTAGAAGGCCACCATAACTCCACACATAATAACTCTGCCATAGGGAACAGGCGACCTCAGGCCAAAAGCAGGCTGTTACTGAAGCTGCCAACGCAAACAAGCCCAGCACAGGAAAGGAGGGAGGATGTTTCCGAGTCTTCCAAATTGCCTAAGCAAACTTTGGAATCTCAAGGTCATTTTAAAGCCACCTTTGACACTTGGTGTATTCTCTTCCATGATCTGCAATGTCATTTAACCTTCACTCCATATGGAGGGGGAAAAAAAAAAAAAGAGATGCTTTTGAAAATTTCACAATACATGCAATACTTGTGCCGAGATCAAACCAACTCTTTTCCAAGACACCAGATGCTGACCTTCACTGCTAGAGAAAAAAATGACGTTAGTTTTCTTCCTCCATTTCTGCTGTTTTGCCAAGAGACACTGACTCATCTCTCCTAGTCACAAAGGCATTATGAACAAAATAAATTAGAGAATTCTTACTCTTTTAGCAGTACTTGTTGCGTTCTCCCAGTAGGACACATGATACTGAAGAAAGTCACCTGCTTCAGGTCCAAAGGGGGGTGTGACATTAATGAGAAGTGAGTCAGAGCTTACAACCACACTGTTCACTTTAGGGGGCCCTATAGTAGCTGAAAATAAACACAGAAAGAGCAGTGAACCTCTGGGATGCAGAACAGCTTGTTATACTGCCTCCAGCTTTACTTAGATACGCTCAGCAAGCATGCTAAATATCAACAGCTTTTTCTCAAAAAAGGGAATCTAGCACGTTCTCATCTACTCCATGTATTTAAGATATCTGCATTATTATAAAATGAAAAAGACTTGAAAGCATAAGTGACACTAGATGAGTAAAAAAAAAAAAAGGTATCCTGTTAACATTCTCTGGGAATTCAGTAAATATTCACTAGAATTGTGTCTGAATTTATCTGCAGTTAATGGTGATACAAGTTTTTTTTGTCCCCTTCAAGTAGCCTGCCACATACTCCATGTTCTCTAAAAACACACTGTTTGGGTCAGCAGATTGGAGAAGGAATACCTAGTTTGCCCTGCAGGGCAAAGATGTTGACTCCCTTTTGTGAAGTATTCAGAGTTCTAAATCATGAAAAATGTTACATAAAGTAGTCAGTCCTAATATAAGGGACTTGTGTGATCCCAGGCCATGTATGGTCATTAGTCATTTATCTGTTGTATCTTCACTTCTTTCAGCAGTTAAGCTGAAAAACCCCACTCGTGAATATTGGAGTAGTTAACGGCTGCTTGCATACTAAAGAGGTGTAACTATTAACAGTAAAACCCCTTGCATGCAACCATTGCTTATTGTACCCCAAAAAAAACCCCAGCAGAAACTGCTCTGTGCACTGTTCCCATGGTCTTTATATTGGTAGAGAAATCTCGGTTTCTTTCTACTTCCTGTTGCTGTACAGCTGCAAACGCCTTGTATCCACACAAATTCCCAAAGCTCCCTTCTCCAATGGGACGGATCCAAACGTTAAAGGAACAGCCCGACCGAGCAGCCCTTGGTCTTCGAGTCTAGAAACTGATCTCCAGGGCAGTCACACAGGAATGATCACATACGTTCCTCTTGCTCCCCAGGGAACAGGCACACAAACATCTCTCCCACACCAAGCCTCTGCTTTGTCTTGTATTCCCCTTAGCCCAGTGCTTTCCTAACCCCCAAAAGATCCCAACTCCTAAATAATGCTGCATCACAAGCTATGGATATCTCAGTTGTAAGCTTCAATGCAGGTTCAGGCAAGTCCTCTATTAGCACAGAGGAATTAGCAGGGGTGAGAAAACTTAAGATTTAGAGCTGAAGACACCAGGGGAAGTATCATACTCTTTCCAGAAGGGACCACCACTGCTCCTCATAAGGTATGGAAGAACTTGAACTAAAGAGCTGATAGATCCATTTCTCTGCTTTGTTATAATTTCAGGGGTATTTTTAAACACAACATTCACTTTCTTCTGATCCTGAAACCGATCACAGCAAGAAAAGAGCAGACCCTATGAAGAACAAGATGCTCGTTCATACATTTAACGGGATTTAAAGTGTGCCCTTGACGTTTCCGCGCTGCAGTCAGGACAGTTTATATTAGAAAAGGGATCTCCTCAATAGAAACAGGTAATTTGTACTATCTCAGACTACCACAGATCAAGGGAGCGCACGTGTGCGTGCGGCAGTGCTAAGCTGGGGAAATAAATGGAAAACTGTCTTAACAAAATGTATGCTGTAGCTCTCAAAGCTCAACCACCCAAGGAACTGCATCGGTTTCTCTTTGCATACCTGCTGAAAGAGCATACTGCTAACCCCACTTCAGAGGAACTCAGCAGTGTCACGTTCCTAGGGACACACCGAGGCCTTGTACTCTTTGTTAACCAAACATCTGCAATGGTCTCGCTTGGCTTTTGTACATAGTAAGAGTCAAAAAAGTCTAGAATGGGCAACACGCTTTCCCCCCGCACCCCGCAAGAAATCTTTAACAGAGAGACACTGGAATCATGACTGGCACTTACTATTTCTCTCTGCCACAAAGGGATCCGTTTCCACCCAGTCAGAAGTCACTTGCCCTAGCTCAGCCCTCACACGCAAAACAACAGTCCAGCGCCGCTCCTTAAGTAAGGGGGGGAAAGTGCATTCGGTCCGGGCGATGCGGGTGCAGTTCATCTCATCCCAGTGGTCAAAGGCCGCTCTGCAATGCAAGGCAGAGGACAAATAAAGCAGCAGCACAACAGCGCAACAACCAAAAGACACAGTGCCTCCCACCCAGACAGCTTTTGTACCAAAAAAACGTGTTACGACAGCAGCGCTTTCCTGCGGGTGTAGTTCCACCGCCCTCTCAGCTCCTGCATCTCCTTGCTATCTGGGAAAAAGTAAAATCAGCAAGAGAGAATTTGGTAAGGCTAAAATTATACAGGAAACTATGCAGCATTTCTGGGTGCTCTTCAGGTCTTCAATCTTTTCTCGCTTTAGTGGATGTATCACAAGCTAAGAGACTGTCAGTCTACTGAAGCTGCTCTTGGATATACACAAAAGCATCTGTAACAGACAACCCAGCCTTTCGTTTCTGTGCTTGTTCATTTTTAGATTCTTTAATTTTTTTTTTTTTTTTAAACCAGTTGTGTTACTGGATTAGAACAAAATGAGTTTGGCTCTTTTCAAAACTATTTACTTACGTTTTAAAATGGACTGTATATAAGACCAAGCCTCTATCCACTTCAACAGGAGACCACCTCAGCAAACTACGGAAGTTATAGGAATAAACCACCACATCCTTTGGCGCCGGTAACTGGGGCGAAGATTCTAAAATAAGAAGAGGAATAAAACTTATTATTGAAACATTCAAGTACACTAACTTTCAGTCTCCAAATTCCATCACCGTATGTTACATTTTCCCCGCTTTGCAGGCACAACCATTCCTCCTCCTCATTCCGTTTCCACGAACACTACTACCAACACATTTATGTCCCTGCTGTCCACTAAAGCACTGAATTGCAACTTACTGCTTTTATTTATTCCATACAGAACGTAGCACTGAAGGTACTGAGCCCAGCACAAAACAATAATCCCCACACAGCACCCCGTGAAGCTATAAATTAAGGTCCACAGCCACCTGTCATTACAAGAGGTCATCTATTTCAGTTGTCTGCATCTCACATTTTTTTACTGTGTAAACAACTCGGAACACATTTCTCCCGGCCATCTGCCTCCTGATAACTTGTTTGAAAACACAGAGGGCGCTTCACTGAAACCTTCCAGGAAACAGGTGGGGAAAAAAAACATAAAAAAAGCCTTCCCGTACTTCATTCACAAACACATAGTGCACCGTCCCACTCGCAAGCCTGGAGTTTTGTCAGTTTTGAAAACCATTTTGCAATGTAGCAAAGGGCTGAACCTCCGTTAGAGGAATGCCTTCTGCTAGTAGGGCTGTCCACCCAAATTCAGTCACGCTATAAACTCCTGGGGGTGAACACCGGCTGCTAGCGCTCTCCAGCAGCTTGTCAGGAGGCCAGCAACCTGAGAGCGGAAAGCAAACAGTTAATGCCTCCAGTGTGGGACAATATCTACTTCGCCACTGGCCCAAGCAGAGTGGAGAAGGAAGCCGTCCACTGTGACTGGAGCATGGCCAAAGGCCACCCTCCGAGCTGGGGGTGGAGGCAGAAGAGCCAAGTGGAGGGAGGGCAGGCAGTCAAGCAAAAGGCAGAGAACCAAGGGCTGGGGAAGGAAAGAAAGACAGATGAGAAGTGAGGTAGCAGCTGGAGGGAGATGTTAGCCGGCAAACAGCAAAACAGCACAGCAAAAACCCCACTGAAAGAGAAGGAGACCAACGGCAAGGAATCGGGATGGCCAAAAGAAAGACTAAGATTACTGCAAGTAGGAGGACAGGAAAATGCAGTTATCAAATGCTGTTAAAACCAGAAAAGCCTGGCATGTTTAACCCCAGCTCTGAAGTCACTCAGGCAGGCAGGCCCCTTCAGAGGTCTCCAGTCCAAGCCCCTGCCCCAAGCAGAGCCAGCTCTGGCAGCAGACCTGGCTCCTTAGGGTTTTCTCCATGCAGGTCCTGAAGCCTCCACATCCCTGCTGGGCACGGCTTTACAGAAAGATTTTCCTTCCACGCTGGGCTAGTATTTGTCCACGCAGTAATCCCTTACACCATGAAACATACTGGGTCAACAGATCCTAAGCTAACCTGAAGACCACCATGACACAATATCCCACACAGTAAGATTTCCATTTCCTGTTCTTAAGACCATAGTCTCCTAAGATACGGTTTATTTTTACATAAACAGGGTCAGAAGATCAAGCACTTAAACTACATTCTGGCCCCAGCCTCCTTTGGGAATACAGGCATAATGTTAGTTTTACCTTTTTGATTTCTACATCTGATTTTGTTACACAGCACTAGACAGCACACTGGTGCCAACAGCGCTGTCTTTCAGAAGAGACGTCACGCCAGGCTCCTAACTTCCTCCTTCCTTACAGGGAGGAGACCACAGCAATCTTTATAAAGTTGCATTAAACCCTAAGTCCAAACTACAAAATAACTAGTTAAGCTCTCAAAGTTTTAATTATGTTACTAGTTTCTTAGCCTCAACTTCTGAGTAGTGCTCTGAAGTAAATGCACACTGCCTCAGGGTACAGGTTCATCATTCAGCACCGTAAACCTCTTTGAGATTCCTTCCAGTCACAAAGGCTACCTAGACTATTAGTCTCTCAGGTATTTTAAAAGCCACTAACTAACCTTTTCTTCATTCAAGAAAAGTTTTCACTTTCCAGTCACACAGATTCTTGCTCACACTCTCACTGCTGGTCTGGCATGTGGCAAGGTATCTCACACCATCAGTAATCTGTGCACACAGACATCTGATACAAACTGATTTTACAAAATTCAAGAAAGCTGTCAGAACAAAGCAAACACAAGCACTAGCATTTTTCTCCTCTCCCTCTTAAAAGAAAAAGCAGTGAAGGATGAGAGCAGCTGGTTCATCTTCGTGATCCAGACTGCACACTGATTGTTTTCCCTTATATTAGCATTCAGAAACAGATAATTTTCCCTATCAGCTTCAAAAACACTGAAAAAAATGTCAGATCTATGGCTCTGTAGTTGAACATCAAGGTGCTGTGTGCCACAAGACACTACTGCGCTGAGGAGCTGGTTCTGTAGCACACCAAGGAAACACACTCGTATTCTGGTTAGATATCTCAACCTGACAACGGAAGTGACTTATGTTTCTGAAATCACACACTGATTAACGATCTTTAGTTTGTATGACCCAAAGGAACAAAAGACACACTTCAGAAAAAAGCACCTACATATGCAAGTATCCCAGAAAAGTAATGAACTACCTTAGCCAGGGAAAGGCAGAAATGCCCCGTCCTTTCACCTGGAGGATGGTCCCACTGAACCAGTTCTTTTAAAGCATCTGCCAAACAACGCATCAGATTGTTTCTTGCTGATGCAGAGGCTTCCTGACTCTTCAAGCCACAAGTCAAAGCTTTCGCATAGCAGAGTGTGAAGCCACAAGTTACAGCGAGTGAAACCAGCTCAGCTTGACCTAGCCATCGATGTCACAGACTTTGTTCCCAGCCCTGAATGATTTCTGATTCCTTCCCTTGTATCAACCTTAGCACACATCGCTTTTCTAAACGGCAGAAACAGAAGTCTGGGGGTTCTTGGAAGGACATTTGATGTTCTCATTGTCAGACATGCACCCAAGCCTGCAAAAGGTGAGTAGAAGTGTGGGGAGAGGTAGGGACAGCTGGCAATTCTTTTGGCTCTGATTTTAACATTTTTTTTTTGCCATAGAAAAAACACAGCCCACCATACCTACGAGCACGAGCGCAGAGAGGGAGGAGGCCCTACGCATTTGGACTCCTGAATCCAGCCACGGACTGCAGGCCTGCAGCAGCAGCTGCACCCAAACGGGAGGCTCACCCGTCACAGGCTGCCCAGCCAGGCCGGGACCGGCACGAGACAGCGCGGCAGCAGATATGGAGGTACCCGCGCGCCTCGAGAAGGACCACACCGTACGTGCACTTCGCTCCAGAGATGTCACAGCAGCTCCTCCACGCTTCCTCCTCCAATCCTACCTGAACCGATCCTTCACAAAATCGAAGGGATGCGGCTCAAGCACAGCTGAGGAAGGGATGCCACATCACGAGCTACACACACGTCCCGACTCCATCCCGATTCAACTCCCCCCAGGCTGAACCAGGTTGTAGCTGCTCTCCCAGACGCTCCCGGTTCGGGGTCACGTTGCCCAGCGCCGGGCAGCAGCAGTGGCAGCCCAGGCGGCAGCTGGGTTTCTAGCATCACCCACCCCGGGATCGGCAGAGGAAACAGGCACTTACCCTCCTTCGGAGGGCCTGGCACAGGCGGGGTGAGGGAAGGTGAACCCGCGAAAGGCCCGCTCTCCCCACCACCGCTGCATCCCCGGCTGC